TTTCTTTCTTTCTTTCTTTCTTTCTTTCTTTCTTTCTTTCTTTCTTTTTTCGTAAGCAAAAGGCTCCTCAGATCCGTATCAAATACTATCATGTGCTTATTTAGTGCTTATATATAAAGCATCCTGTAAACCACTGGGAGGGAATGAATTTATGTCTGTACCTACTACAATCAATCAGTCCCTCTGTCTGTCTGTCTGTCTATCTATCTATCTATCTATCTGTCTGTCTGTCTGTCTATCTATCTATCATCTATCTATCATCCATCTCTCATCTATCTATCTATCTATCTATTATCTATTATCTATCTATCATCCATCTCTCATCTATCTATCTATCTATCTATCTATCTATCTATCTATCATCTATCTATCTATCTATCTATCTATCATCTATCATCTATCATCTATCATCTATCTATCTATCTATCTATCATCTATCTATCTATCATCTATCTATCTATCATCTTTTAATCATCTATCTACTCATGTCACCCATCCGTCTCTCTCTATATATATATTTGCCACTCTCATTCTGTGCTTCTCCTGACTTCCCAAAGATGCTGTGTAGAAACTTTTATCACAAAGCCTTGAAATAGATATTTCACTATTGCCATTTTATAAATGAAGAAACAGGCAACTTGTCCCAGAACAAAGAACTGCCCCGTCAAGAGCTGTCAGTTGTAGCATATGACCTATCCTCAGAGCCCATCCTCCCAAGACTGCAAACACAGAGGTTGCAAAAGCAGGTGTCAGCAGCCCCTTCCGAGAAAAGGATGCCAGCAAGCCTGCTGCTGGTGTGTGCGTGCGAGGGAGTGGTGGAATGAATTCCTGGCCTGAGGTGGACCTTGTATGGTGTCTGCAAGCCAGATCCCGGAGATGATAACCTTTCTCTGGGAGACACTGGCCATGGAGGACCTCTGTACTAATTTGATAAGGTTTCATAGTAAAGGATCACAAACTGGGTGTCTCAAAACAACAGGTAGTTGGGCAGAATCCACCATTGCCTCTTCCTGGCTCCAGGCGGTGGATCCCATTCCCTGGCATCCCTGACTTGCAGCTGCATTGCTCCAGGCGGTGGATCCCATTCCCTGGCATCCCTGACTTGCAGCTGCATTGCTCCAGGCGGTGGATCCCATTCCCTGGCATCCCTGACTTGCAGCTGCATTGCTCCAGCCTCTGCCTCTGCCTTTAAATGGTGATCTCTCCTCCTCTGTCTGTCCCTTCTCATGGCCCTTTAAAAGGACAGCAGTCACTGGATTTAAGGCCCAGGTTAATACAGTAGGACCTCATTGTCCCTCAATTACATCGTTCGAAACCCTCTTTACAGTAAGGGGAGCGTTCACCAGCTGGATGAAGACTTGAACAGACCCCTTTGGGAGGATGTAACCCCTAACAGTTCGGATGGAAAGATGCCCTGGGACTGTAGAAGGGGCCCTGAAGAGAGACCCTTTTGGATACATTGTGAATGGAAGCAAACTCGGGAGGTGTGGAAAGTGTCAGAAAAGATAAGGAACAAGACAAGCAAGAGACAGAAAAACTGCTCCAGACAGGGCAGAATGTGAACCAGTTTACAGGAGCGGCCCAGCTGGAGCGCTGGCACATCAACATTGGGTAGACTTGGGGTTAAGGTCACAGTGCTGGGCAGGGGCCAGGTTAGAGGAGGTCTCTTTCATGGACTTTATCATGGTATTGTGGTTGTTCACCAGGATGCACTAAAGGGGCTTGCTAAAACACCGTGTGCTGGGCCCACCCACTAAGTATTAATTCAGACAGTCTGGGGTGGGTTCTGAGAACTTGTTTTTTAACCAATTCCAGCTGCTATCAAAGCTGCTGGTCCTGGGACCACACTTTGAGAAGTTCTTTCTCACTGCTGCGTGGGACCATAGAAGTTCTGAGGGATAAGAAGTGACAAGTAGCTCATTCGGTAGTGAAGCTAAGGCATCATCAGGGTCAGTGATATAGAAAACTTCTTTTAAACTGTGGTTAGTGTAAGCACCCAGAATCTTGGGAGAATCAAACTATGATACTTTGGAAATTCAGATGGCAAAGCCACCCTCTGCTTCAGCAGCAACTGATGGATTATAAATCTAGTGTGGGCTCTTTTCCAAGAAGGGCAATCTGAAATGAAATTATTTTTTTTTTTGAAGAAAATTTACTTCTTGCTTCCTGTGACATGGGTAAGTACCTTGCTTTAATGTAATGAGGTACTTACCCATGTCACTACGTGTAGCTGTGAGTAGATGTCTTAGTTACTTTTTTTTTATTGCTATGACAAAGCACCAGGACCAAGGCAATTTATAAAGGAAAGTACTTAATTTCTGGCTTCTGGTTCCAGAGGGTTAAAGTCCATGGCCATTGTGCTGGGAGGCATTGCAGTAGGCAGGTAGGGTTGCAGGCATGGTGATCCACAGGCAGAGAGAGCTAACTGGGAATGTGATGGCCCTTTTTCAGGTGAAATAAACCCTTGAGAATCTTAGGGTTCAAAGTTCTCTGCTCACTAGAGTCCTTCCAGACCCCTGAATGCCTCGAACGCCCCGAATGTGGGTCTAATCAGCCAGAGGTGCAGACAGAACGAAAAGATGGAAGGAAAAAGAAGCTCACACATTGGATGATTTCTCTTCCTCCTAAACTATGGAACACTTTATTTAGGATTTATTTAAAATTCTGAAAGAAGGTGAGTGACTATGTTTAATAGTAAATTTTGTCCTTTCATAATTCCACGTGTACACTGAGTTCCGGTACATTCAACCTCCTGAGCAGGCATTCTTGCTTTGGCCGTTATCTGCAGATGAGATCGTTCAGCCTTCAGCTCTGCCCTTGCTCAGTTACTCACTGGGCCTTCAGCCTCAGATCGGGACCACAGCATCGGGACATTTTGTTCTTGGGCTTTCAGGTTCTGGACGTGAACAGTCGCTGGTTTCACAGATTTTCCTTCCCGCAGGGGGCTACTGGGGAACTATCCTGCCTCTAGCTGTGTAAGTCCATCTAATAAAATCCCCACTTAAATTATATGGACACTCTCTTGGTTCTGTTCCACTAAAGACCCCCTGACTAATACAGCAAGAACAATAATAAAATAGAAGAATTGTGACGTTCTATAGTGACTATTTGCTCTAGGGCTACTAGGAAGTAAAATGGCTTCAACACAGCCCTGTAATTCTGTGACAGCTGATCTGATAACCAGTTAGCTACTGAGTGACTAGCTGGAGGGTAGCATATACAGCGTGGATGCACTAGACACTTGGGTGATTCACATACAGGGCAGACCGGGCTAGCATGAGATTTCACACCATCAGGATGACATATATTTTAAAACTTCACAAATGTTTATTTCTGAAAATGCCCACTTCGTATTTCTGTTATCGACCACCAGTAACAAACCACAGAGAGCCAAAACCACCATGGCAGAGGCACTGCTATATATAGCGCTGGCATGTGCACCAAGAAGTAAAAAGCACACTTCTAAGTGCAGCTCTATCAGTTCACTTCTTTTCAGTAAATGCTGTTCATCACCAACCGCAGAGTTATTTCCATCCTAATGGATCATCCTAACGCTCGGTTTCTGGAGCAGAATCTGATGAGGCTCTAACCAGTGGCAGGTTTCTTCTGTCTTGCTTTGTCTCCGAATCATTGTATAAAGCATTGAGCCGGGAGGAGTAAGTATTAAAGAGAAGTCAAGGAACTAGAAGACAAGCGACAGGTATTTATCCATCCCGAGAGCACAGTTCACAAATCCATCTCCCTGTTTAAATTCATCTGCAACGCAAGAACCTGCGTGATAAGACACCCAAACCTAAGACTCACATGTGAACGGAAGCCCAGTGCTCCAGCAAAATGTTCACTCTGTTTCTCCTCTCTGCCACTGCTTCTTAAACTCTGTCCCCCTGCTTTTGTCTTCGGGCCATAGCTGAGGACTTTCCACATTTTTATTTTCATGCTGGGGTGGTGGGCAAGTGAGAAGCAGGTTATGCTGTCTCGCTCAGAGGGCTCCCAGGCTCCCCTCTCATCGCAGTGGGACCCACTGGTCTAACATTCTGCTTCTAAATGTCCCCTCCATCTTCATATTTGGTGAGAAAAGATAAATGTCATGCCATTCCAAAAAAAGCAAGCATCTCCACTTTATAAGGTTACTTTTATGAGTCAGGCTTGGTTGGAGAAAAATAACTCATTTGTAAATAAAAATTGTTGGGCCATTCTTAGGTTCTAGACAGAGCGCATATTATATTATGCCCTGGAATTATATTATTGCATTTCCTCCTTTCAGGCAAGGGCAGATAAAGCAAACTGAGCTCATATTACAAAAGTTGCTCACATTCGTAACAGGCCACAGCCAGCGGAGTACTGCCATGGTTTTCAAGAGTCGAACAAAGGGAACAAGGGCAGCCGTTTCCCAAGAACCATCAGTACCTGGCAGTGTGGGAAGTACTCTCAGGGGCCCCAGGACTGGTGTGGCTGGGCAAACAACGGGGATTTTCCCCAAGGTCATTCATAATCATTATCACGAAAAGTCTTTATATATTGTGAATAACCATAATACACTGTAATCATTATGAAATTATCCTCTGTTATTCTGGAGACAGGAGACGTGACCCTGCTGGCTCGGAGGAGAAGAGACGGGACCATGAGCCAAGGAACACAGCTGGTACCAAACAGGCAAGGGAATGAGGCTTCGGCTGAACCTCCTCCAGGGCAGCGTGACCCACTGCAGACCTCTGACCTCTAGAACTGAAGGTGAATGTATCTCACGTGTTGGACCCACGAGCATTATGGTCATGTGTCACGTGGAGATGGGAAGAAATATAGAGAATTAGTTGTGGTCCCTCATGTAATGTTTGCTGTGTGGACATGTGTCCTTGATGTGACCGTGGATTCACATAGATCCTCTTTACAAGCACACAGAAGATTCTCTTTCAACTTGATTTTAGTGGCGATGATGATGATACCTTACGCAACCATAACAAATAACCCGAATGGACGCTTGTCAGGGCTCCTAGCCTTAATCAGTGTGGGGTTGGCTCTCTAAAACATTCTCCGGATGACTTGCTCCTGCCCTGGCTGTATGCATGCATGGAGTGACTCACGGCTTAGCAGTCACTGAAACTGTTCATCTTTTAGTATTAAAAATTAATCTTTATGTAACATGAGGGCCGGCTTGTTGGGGTATCTGTCCCGCCCGGTACCCCTCAGCCGGCATGCCCCAAAGAGAAATCACACACAAGACTCCAGAAGGTTATAAACTAATTGGCTCATTAGGTCAGGCTTCTTGTTAACTCTTATAACTTATATTAACCCATTATTCTCATCTATGTTAGCCATAATGGCTCTGTACCTTTCTCTGCTGGGCAAGTTACATGCTGCCTCTTCGGTGGTCTGTACAGGAATGGCTGAGAGAGAGCTTCTGCTTCCAGAATACTCCCAGTCTCTTTGCTCCACCCCTACTTCCTGTCTGGCTTTCCCGCCTATATTGCCTGCCTGACCAATCAGCGTTTTATTAAAATATGATTGACAGAATACAGATAATTCTCCCACACCATCTTTAAGGGATTGAGTATTTGCATTCAACTTCCAATGGAACGGTTAAGAGCCTTAAAGGAAGGCTTTTGGGCAGACGCCCAAGAAGATCAACCTGCCCCTAGCCAGTCGTCTTTACTTGGGGCACTGCTAATACCATGTGATGACAAACACCCTGGCCTGACAAGTAGAAAACCAAATGTAAAATGTTGCGGACAGGAGAATAGGAACAAAACCAACTTGTTCCAGAATAGTTGAGGGCATTCCTATCCGCTGGCTCATCTGGGTTCAGTCACTTGGGCAACTTGGGGCAAGGGACAAGGAAACATAACACCCAGGTTTTATACCGCTGGCATTCCCTGCCAAATGCTGGACCTGGATCCTACCCCCTGGGAGCTCGTGTGGTGGGCAAAGACTGTAGTCTGCCTGAGTCTCTGCAGGTCAGGCCAGGACTGTCTACTCTGTGCATCCCTGTGCTCTGTGCCACGAGGTTTCCTCCTTAGGCAGCTCGCAGCCCTAATGACAGCAAGGCCCTACAGGGCCTCTGACTTGGCTGTCGTCTCACGAAGTCCCTAAAAGTTAAGAGCTTTTTTTTCAGGGAAAGAAAACCTGACTTTGCCTTACTATTTTATTATCTTTCCTCCTGCGTATGCATCGCAGCCTCTTTGATTCCCCAATTTTTGTCTCCATGTAATACGGCCTACATAATGCATTGCTTTCCTAGTCTTACTGATTGACTCTGAATTATTGACATTAATGGAGAGAAGGGTTCAAGAAGACGCGTAATTGGGTGTCTAATATTGTACTAAAGTGCTCTGTCGACTGAGAAGCGGTGCGTTTCTTTCTCAGTGGAGTGCATGCACTTGGATCTGTGTGGCCCAGGGGACGAATTCTGCTCCTGCTTCGGGCCTGCGGTAGTCAGTCTGAATCCTGAGAGCAGCAGCTGCTCTACCTTCTGGCCTGACAAGCGTGGTCCAATGTTTTCCAAAAACCACTGACTCACCTCTAGGCCGGCTATTTAAGACACACTTACTACCTGATTGGGCACTGACTGTTGGGTGAGCTGTGAAGAACAGGTCTAAAACATGTGTCCTACCCGCTGACCTAGTTTGCATCCCATTGCTGTGATAGAGGCCATGACCAGCTTGGGGAGGAAAGGGTTTCTTTGGTTTACACTTTCCTATTACGATCCATCACTGAGGGAAGCCAAGACGGGAACGAGCAGGGCAGGAACCTGGAGGCATGAACTGAAGCAGAGGTCAGGCTGCTTTCCTGACTCCCTGTGACTGTCTCAACATCCCCTTCTTCTTAAATACACCCCAGGGTCACCTGCCCAGGGTGGCTATGTTCCCAGTGAGCTGGACTCTCCCACATCAATCATTAATTCAGAAAATACTCCTATGGTTTTGTCTATAGGTCAATCTGATGAAAACATAGTCTCAGGTGAGGTTCCCTCTGACCAGACTTGTGTCAAGATGACAAGAAAACTAACTAGCACACTCACAAGGTCCAAACTCAGTGCTCTGGAAAGAATCGACGGGGTTGTCTCTTCAACTCTTGCTGTATGAGCAAGCCACGATTGTGGAAGAAGCAGGGGAAAGGCCGGCGTAGAAGACTAGGTACCTTATCCTTTCTACGCGCACACCCCACTGGCTGCAAACCAAAATGGAAACCGAAGTGAAGCTTTTCTTGCTAGAAAGACCCCCATAAAGCTTCAGTCAAACAGCCATACATCAAAATTAAAGGGATATATTTATACTTACTACTTTTTATTGGAGGAGAGCATGGGCAATCCCCTCCCCCAACACACCTTGCCCAGCTGTTTGAACTGCATCTGGTTCTGGATGGGAAATGGGCCCTGACCAATTTCCAGGCAACTGATTCCTGAATACGGTGGCTTTCTTGGGAAGTATGTGCCCACAGAACTCTCCTCAAATCCATACATCTCAGTGAAATCAAAGTATCCAGGAGTGGAGAAACCCATAGGCCTGACCCAGGATACCCAGAAGCCTAAGAACTTCCAACACCATGGGGGATCTGTTCCGCTCCAACTGTGATCCTGAGCCTGGGCCACATCGTAGAAGGAAAGTAAAAAAAAAAAAAATTGGTCATGGAATGATAGTGTATGACCAGGAACAAGGTGACAATGGGTAGGGATAGCAGAGAACACAGGCCGCCACCCACCTTAAGGTCTCATCTTCAATCAGGAGCCAGAGACTTTTCCTTGTGCTTTCTTAAACCATAATCTACAGTGATTACTGCATTTGACCACGAGAGGGCAACAATGTTTCTAAAATGAGGACTCTCCAGGCGCTAAGAGAAACAAGGAAATCTCCAGGCTGGAAGATGTCTTTAAACATCTTTTGGTCCCCTGGCTTCCATTTTTTGTTTTGCTTTGTTTGTTTTTGTTTTCAGATAAAGTCTACATCAAGAACTGCATCCCTCATCATGGCCTGGTTTATGCACATAGATTTGGACCACACTGGGAAACACCTCTCTTGCTTTTGCCATTCACCCTCATGGTGTATGGCCCAAGTCATTTCATTACATAGGATTTGGAAGTAGCTCAGTGGTCGAACATGTGCCTAGCATGTATGGGGCTTTGTGCTCAATCCCTGGAGCCAAAAATTACAATAACTGGACCCACAGCAATTGATCCCTTACCTCGAAAACCTGACTTAGTCCCAGCCCCTCACGTTAAAAAAAGGAGCATACTCAGCCCTAAGTGAAGAGGGGTCCCTGTGAGTTCCACTTCTCCCACTCAGGCATCCTCTTGCTCCCCCTGGTTCAGGACCAGGTGAAGGACAGCTGCAGCGTGGCAACCTATTGCATTATCCTAACGAAATGCTCATGGGATGGAGATTCTAACCAGAGGGTGGCCATCTACCTACACTAGATGAGTTCTCTGAGGACTGTGGCTTCTCTCGCCATTGGAGCTCCTACAGCCACCTTTCTGGAAGCTGTCCCCACCAAGCTAAGTTTGTGTCACCTAAAAGAGGTGGTTGAGTGCTTCAAAGCAAAAAGAATGCCAAAGATGTCTTCCTAAGGTTGCTACCCCACATCTGAAGTAAGGTCACAAAATCCAGCTTCATGCCTAACATAAAATGTTCAAGATTTAGATACTGGGCAATGGGCTACCTCTAACTCTTATTTTGATACTTTGCCTGCTTTATCATATGACACAACTTTTATAGCCACCCAGCGTTGGCAGACTATGTTATTTCTATCCTAAGTGGGGTGATAGCTGGAGAATACTTATATATGGGTCTCCAAGTTGTTTGGCTCTTTGAAGGTAAAACAAGACCCAGTTTAAAGTCTAAATAGGTCCTGCTGCAGACCCTAGGAAGCCAGCTTACTGCAATCCCTGGCCAGGGATCAGCCCCCATTCCCAGGCGTTTACCTTCATTTTGCCACCTTCCCAGACATTTGCATGCCCTTGTTAGATGTTTATCTCCCCAACACTGGCCGGCCTGATCATCTTTAAGGGTGGACCTTTCTTTAGTAGCCTTTTAAGGGAAACAATTTGACTAGATTCATGGCGGAAATTGATTCTTGGCACACTGACCTCTTTTTTTCTTG